GACATGTTGTGAGGAGAGACCGGTCCTTAGAGAGGGACATCATGCTTGGGAGGGAGGAGGGACAGCGCAGGAGAGGAAGGCTCTCTATGAGGTAGATTGATTCAGTGACTGGGATAATTGGGATGGGAGTGTCAGAGACAGTGCGATTGGCACAGGACAGAGCAGAGCTTAGGGTTGTTGTACATAGGGTCACTATGAGTCACAAGTGACTCGATGGCACATAACAACAACATAACATCAAGTCTGCAGCAACTCAGGGAAACCTTCACACAAAGTCAGTCCCAAATCATTCCAGACAGATGAACTCTGCATTTGTTCTGTCAAATCCCCTTGACGCATTTATCCACTGGAAGAGACTGAGTGATCTGTCCCTTTTTAGTTTAAAACTATTCCTGTCATTCATTTGAAGAATAGGTTTGTATTAGTATTAAAACTATACAGGAACTCTTTGATTGATTGATTGATTGATAGAAAAGGCCATCATTTAGGGCTTCAAAAATCCCTCATTTTAGTGCAATTTGATTTCTACTGCCAAAAATTCCTTTCATTGGTTTACAGACTTCGATCACATTAACTCCACTCCTCCCCCCACCTCAAGTTTGACTGACAGAAAGAACAGCTTGCTTTCATTTTTTAAGAAAGTTGTCTTTCTTTCATTTTGTTGGAAAATGACTTGTACCTTTCCATTGGAATAAGCCTTTAGCTTTTGCTCACAATTCACTTTCCTTTAATTATTATTTCCATTTTCCTTCCTTATCTTAATTCACTAGAAGAAATGTACAACAATGAATAAATGAAAATCTAACTTTTCTGTAAACTTTCATTAAAATCACAATAGAAAAGAATGTAGAATCAATGTAAGTAACCATTGGGGACAGAGAATACCAAGACAGATATTTCTCTGGTCCCTCATTCTGTCCCATCTTCCCCTCTCACATTAGGAAGCATAACAACACATCCATACTCTGGTAAATGATATATAAAGACTGGATGAGAACCGAGCCCAATATCAAACACCCAGCAGAATACAGATCAAGCTTTGCCCCCTTCTGAATGGGTACAAGCTGACCACACGACATCTTAAAAAAACTCATGATTCATCCCATTGACACAGGGTCAGGACCAACTCATAGCTGATGCTCCATGGTGTTTCTGGGGCTATAAACAGTACAGGAGGAGAGTGCTAAATTTTTGCTTAAGGAGCTGCTGGTGGCTCTGAATAGTCAAAAGGGTGATTGATGTCTTTGGGTTAGCAGCACAATTTCCTACGGACGACGCCATCAGAGCTCCCCTCAGGGACATCATGCTTGGGAGGGTGGAGGGGCAGTGCAGGAGGGGAAGACCCTCTATGAGGTGGATTGATTCAGTGACTGAGGTAATCGGGATGGGTGTGTAGGAGGCAGGGCGACTGGCACAGGATAGAGCAGGGTTTGGGGCTGTTGTACACAGGGTCGCTGTGACTCGACGGCACATAACAACAACAATTACTCAAAGAAAGAGTAGTAGCTATAAGCCAGGCAAATAGAACGATATAGTGCCGAATGTAAGGAGAGTTGAGGGGGGGAAGAGAAGATTTTCTGTAAGGGGCTCCAAAGGTTCAGGGTGAACTCTAGAACTCTGTGGGTGCAAAGGATGCCCCTAGAGAAGGTGGGGTGTTTGCGGACAGGGGCAGGATGACTTCCTAGGTTCTAAGAGAGCATGTTCTTACAGCAAAGAGAATTCATCAAGGGACTGAAAACAGGGCTGTGATGTGATGTGATCAGACTGGAGGAGCTCTTAGAAGGAAAGATCACGTTACCTCTGGAAGAAATGACTGGTTAAAGGGAAACAAAGAAGTCATTTTTGTTCCTGTTTACAGAAAAGAAAATTCTAGGGTTATCTTTTTTTTTTTTAAATATCTTCCCAGTTGATACAAAAGCAAAATTAAGTTCATTCTAAAACAACTTATAAAAGTAAGTAAAATTTTCTTAACATCTTTTCAAGTTTTTAGGGTATCCAAAAGTAGGGAGATTATTGTTTACTGTGAATGACTCAATCTATGTTCACAAACAAACAGAAATGAGAAACAAACACAATTTCACTGTGTCTAAAGTAAAAATGACTGAATTTAAAAACTAAAATACTAATATAATTAAGGAAGGAAACAGTGTAATAGCTACTCCAGGAAACTGACATCACTATTATAGCTTCTAAAAACAAAAGGGTATATATGAACAATGCAATTATAATAATTAGATATACTGAATATAATACAGTTTATTTCATCAATCTTGGGCTAAATTATCACAGATATTTACTTTTCTACAGAAAAAATGATGATGAACTGATCCTTTGATTTTACAGGAATAATAATAGTTCTCTGGCCACCTCCACACATACAAAAAAAAAAAAACAACCACAAA